CTCCATTTTTTCTTCTTTGGTGAATATTACAATTCTCTTATCTTTATAAAAATTTAGTCCTCCAAATTTGATATGTCTCGACAATAGGTGAGAAAATCGAGTTCGTATCGAATCTTCAGTCTCTCAAGTAGCTTCTACTAGCGAATGATGTCGCTAGAATACCTTGACCATTAGAATAGTCTTATTCCTCAATGAATGTTTCTGTTTGTCCAATATTTCTATGAACATTTCCTTATAGGACATATATTCTTCAATAGGAACTTTTTTGTATTGGATTATATGCGATGGATCAGGATGGTATTTACGTAACATGGACACATGAAATACATCATGAACGTTAGTCAATTTTGGTGGCAATGCCAATTGATATTTAGTAAATCCAATTCTCTCCAGTATTTCAAATGGTTTAATGAAGCGAGGGCTTAATTTTTCTTTCTTCCTAAATCTCATAACGCCCTTCATTGGTGACACTTACAAGAACACATGATCCTCTATTTCAAATTCCAAACTCTTTCTACGATTACCTGCATAACTCTTCTGTTTACTTTGGGTGATTTAAAGGTTTTTCTTAATTAGGACAATCTTGGAGGTAGTTTCTTTAATTAATTCAGATCTAATTAATTTTTTGTCCCCAATTTCTTCCCAACACACAGGAGATCTACATGATCTACCATAAAGTATTTCATATGGAACTGCACTAATACTGTACTGAAACCTATTATTATAGGTGAATTCAATCAATGGTAGATGGTCGTCCCAATTTTCTCTCATCTCTAGTGCACAAGCCCTAAGCATATCTTCTAATGCCTGGATGGTTCTTTCCGTTTGGTCATCCGTTTGTAGGTGAAATAGTGTTGAATAATAAAGTGGTGCCTAAGGCTTGTTGAAGACTTGTCCAAAACCTAGAGGTGAAACGAGTATCTCGATTTGCTCGAACAATCATTTCTATAATTTCATCGCGCGATATCGTTTATGTCATCATCGAAAAATAGAAAAATGGATCCCCCCATTGTAACACCCACCAAAACCTTTTTTTTTCATTTTTTTATTAATAAATATAATTATTTATTTATTTAATTTATTTTATTATATAATATTCTATTTTAATTTAATGAAAAAAGGCGTAAAATTTATTAAGGATTAAATTAAAAATAATTTTGGAGAAAAAGAGTAAAAAATTGGGTTCGGGGGGTATTTTTAAAAGAAAAATAAGAAATTAGGAGTCAAAACATAATTTAAAAAAATTACACCACATGAGACGCCCAGTCAGCAGCCCTGCCCAACCCGGACACGCCAAGTGGCAGAGGCGCTGACGTGGAAGGCCACGCAGGGGGAGCCACGTAAGTGATCTGCGTGCGCGCGATCAAACAGTTGAGGTCCGTTCCCACGTGCACAGGCAGCCCAAAGTGAATCGTGCACGGATGGCCCAGATTGGATCGCGATGAACGGTTCAAATTCACTCCCTATTTAATCACGATTGGAAGGCCCAGTTCAAAGCGATGGATGACCTAGATCAAAAGTGTATAGGTATAAATAACCTCATCCGCACCCAAACTCTAACCCTAGCCGCTAAAATTCCTCGTCGGAGAAGACAACCCAGCCGCTGGGGAGCCGACTGCCGCCACCCGTCGCCGCATCGGAACCCTTTTCGACCATTAAAAAAATTAAAAATTTCCCTTTTTGCACGAAATTCAATTTTAAACCCACCCATGACCAAATCAAAGTGAAAGAACCAGTTAATTGGCCGAAAAACGTCGATGAAGTCCGGCATCGCTGCCACGGAAAATTTTACAAACTGCCCCCGATGAGACCCTTCTCGATTCCTATTTCGCATATTTTTTCATCGTTGTGATCACCGTTTTTTTTTCTACAGGTTGACCGAAGTGAAACACCCAA